TTGTTTTGTTATAATTAGATGATATATTTTACTCATACTAATCGTAAACAGAAAATATACTATTAATTGACAACAAAACTCATAAATTGTAGGTTTATATAGTCATTAAGCAATTAAATTTATTTTTTCGCTTGTAAAGCAAATAAAAAATATTATGTTAGCAATCGTATGACTATTTTATTATTGTAAAGATATTTTATTATTTATTTCTATTTTTCCAGTAAGTTTATACACCCCTTTTATTTCATTTGAAAAGTGTATTACTCTGTAATTACCAGTAATATAAAATTTATTATATAAGATGAGTAATATTTAATTACTATAAAGGTAAATTTAACAACAATTTAAGATTAAATTATATTTATAGAGAATTGACCCTGAGTTTGTTGTATTCTTAATAATATTAATTAATTAAAGTTAAATGTCTATTTAAATGATATTTAAAAGTAAATCTCTTTATCATAAATGAATTTAGAAATATTATAGATGTCACAATTACATGACAACTCTAAACAGGATATTATCGTTTCTTAATCAAAATAAAGTTATTAATAACAAAAGCTTTTCACTAAATTTAGAAATTCTTATCATAATTATAAATAAACATATTATTATTAAGTATTAAATTAAGATTATATAATGAAGAATTACATTTGAAAACAGGCACATTCTTAATGCAAATTACATACTTAACTTCTACTTTACTTTAACTTTTAATAACTTTTATAAAGTATTTATATATAAAATAAGTATACTGTATAAAGTTTATAAAATATATGTTTTAACAAAATAATTTTGCCAATTTCTTTCAGATAATTTCCAACTATTAATTGATTTTCAGACGGCTTAAGAAGTCGGTGGGAATATCAATGCTATCACTGACTTGGAGCTGATCCACATTTGAATGGTTACAAAACAACTCGAATTGATAGAGAGTTAGTGAACACAACTGTTTTATATGGGGAGCGATGTCTCCTCTTTTCATCAACTCTTCCAATACTTTAATCCCATTTTCTTTGGCCAAAAGTAAGCAATACTTTGCATCTAATGATTCATAATTACGTTAAAATCATTTTATATTAAATTTGTATAAAATTTAATTTAATAGCTTCAAAATAAATGATTATCAAATAATACTGACTTTCCACCCTGGTACGATTAGCGAGTGTCCAAACAGCCCAATACTGACTATCAGATGGGATGTCACGTTTTAATAAACGGAAAATTGGCACAAATGATCTGGATAAGTAAAGTATAATTTTATTCTAGAATATTTACGATAAAGACAAATATTAAATTTTATAAATCTAAGAGCACCTGTAGTTTAAATTAATTTTTGAATTAACTTTCCAGCGCCATATCTCTGAATTCAATTTTAATAACATATTATCGCGTTTACAGTCAATGGGCAGAAATGTTTGCCAATCAGTGTCACCATTAGATGCTAATAATTTACAAAATATATTTACAATAAAAAGTTTATAATACTTTATTTCATTTAATGCAAACCAATTTGAGATAAAATCGCCGCTGAATTATAACTGATTTCTATGCCATAGGTTTCACTGTCCAATAGTTTTATAAACCTATTTATGTAATCACTTGTCATAAGTCTGGTCCTCATATCCTGACACTCGGCTATATTTGCCAATAAACCCGTCATATTTGTCAACAACACTAAAAAGTAACCAATATTTTATTGGATAGAAATTATACAGAATTTGTTTAGTATGCACTTGAAAAACAAACCTAATTTGTCCACAAACATATCCATACATGTAGTAAAGGTTTTCATACCATTATTTTCTAAGAACTGTAAGCAATTAACAGGAGTTTCATCTGAAATAAAATTATTATATAATCACTGATTAGCGTCCGGTTTAACAATTAAGACATTATATGACAGACCCGTGAGGTTCCACATGAGAGCCCATCCAATCTCCATACAGTCGTCGCAAACGTTTGCCTGAATTTTAGAGTCAATTATTGCGAGTATTTTGTCGATTACACCGAAATCGGACACAAATTTCTTTTGCTGAATGGTGTGATCGCACGAGAGTTTGTATAACAGATAAATACCTGTCCAATAAATAATTGACTTAAGGAAACTTATTTACCAAAATAGTTAATATAATAAAAACCTAATTTTAGGGTTGATTCGTTACCATCATTGGTCAGCGTATATAAGATAATTTCAAACAAATGTAAGTTATCTGAAGACTAAAAATATTTAATATTAAATTATTTAAGAATTTTATAAATATAGAAAAAGCGGGAGAGAGAGAGGGAGAGAGAGAGAGAGAGAGAGACTTACAGTCAAGGCACTTGTTTTCAAATCTAAACTACTTTGCAAGTCCTGTATTGTGTTTAACAAATTTTCTTTTTCTTTTCGCAATTTATTATTTTCATCACTCAATCGTCTATTTTCATTGATTAATAACAGACTGTTATCACCAAACATAGGTTCGGTATTACCAAACTTGGGCTGGCTATTATTGCCTATTACAAAGGGGATTGTGAACATAGGCTGCCGTTTCATAGCCTCGATCTCTTGATTTGCCTTTTGGTTCAATCGAAGCAACGATTGAATGCAATTGTGTCCAAAAAAGTCCAAATCACACAAACATTTATCGCATTTTTGTGGTTTAAACCGAAACCGACACGAGTTTGTATGAAGTGTTAAGTCCTCTAAATTAATCAATTGCTCACAACCTTTGTCTTTGAAGTCACACCTTATCTGGAGTTTTCCCAAACCATTCATAAATTGTCTAAATATGTCATACAATTTGAGAATTTGAGTAAAAATTTTAATTTTAATAATTACAAAATAAATGTTATTCAGAATATTCTTATGTAAAAGTTAGAATTTTTTTATTGAAAATTCCAGTTGTACTGGTACAAATATTTTATAGCATATTCTGTCATAGGGAATTAATGATTAATACCTAGTTGGTTTCAATAGTCCAGTGATTGTCAATGTCTTGAGGTCATTGGGACAGGTATTGTGAGTCTTAAGCCAGTTATGGATACATTGCTCACAAAACTTTTGTTCACAACATTGAACGATAACCGGAGCGCACAGTATGTCCTGACATATACTACACGTGTAGTGAGTCTTGTCCACTGCACTCAACCCCACAAACCTTTCACTTTCATATCCGGCCATTATTTCGCCCAGGTCCTATTAAGTGACTTTGAAATATTAGCAGCTATATAATTATTATTATATTTTAGAGCACAATTTTTTATTTAATTAATAAAATTAACACACAGTTAAGAATCTTTATTAAAAATGATTTAATATTTTAAAACATGGAAAACATAAACACTTTCAACGTATTACGACATTACACTGTAAACATGTTATTATACATGTACAATACAATTATGTTGCAAAACTTATATAACATTGACATTTTATAACAGATTATTCCTATGGATACGTATAAAAAAGCGCTTAAATTTAATTTAAAAGGGTTTCTTTTTATAATATACAGTATATTTTTATTTGATACTTATACTTAAAATTAATACAAATTTATGAAAACGGGTAATAATAATGTTAAACATCGATCATTAAAATCACATTAATAACCGTAAAAATAATAGTATATACGGACAGTGAGAGAAACCCCCATAAGACTTGAATATTGCCAAACAGAGTCCAACCCCTGTATGCGATATATCGGAGGGATTGTGTGGATGTGGTTAAGGGTGCGATCATTAGTACGTTTTGCAATAGACTTGAGAGGGACTCGTGGGGCCACAACACACCCGATGCCATCCACTCACACAAAACTATGCTGGCTATACCAATCTGCATATATCTAGTTTTAATCATATGTTTAATAACTCTTTGATAATACTTACAATCGTATGAATTATTTCCGGTAATATCAGCGATAGGGTTGCTCCCAATGCTATGGATTGTATGGCACTCATCAATAATATAATGAATGCATCGGAATAGCTGCCAAACATGGGGTAATCATAAAAACCAAATACAAACACCAGAATGACTACTGTCTGTACAATACTATGAATGATACAAACTAGCATTTGAATGACATATATTTCCATACTATTAATTCCCGCGACTAAACCCCGGTCTAGAAACCCCTCTTTGCGTTCATGGATTAAATGAAAGGCAAAGTTTGCGGTGAATATTAGGTTCAAAGTTCGGATGACGCCTAATATAAAGCCAGGCATTAAATAATGGCTAATATTAATAGCCAGCAAATCTCCAAAATATCGGCAACTGAACTCAATTGGCATCAAATAAGCTCTCGGGTTATGGTCCATAGAAGTGCTAATATTATGTATTAATTTATTTAAGGATTGCATTAAAAACATTTGTCCAAAATAGGCGACCACTGTCTCAGACATATCGACGTAGACTTTAATTGTGGCGCTTTTGATCTCATTGTCAGTCATGTCATTATAATCTAGAAGCCGATGCTTAAAGTTATCGGAAAACTCATTATCAAACACAATGGCAAATGAATTTTTGCCTGAAACTACTGATTCATATCCAGAATTACTATCATTAAAATAGGTTTTATCGAAATACTTGTTATCCATATAATCGACAAACATATTGGACAGTTGTGGGAGTGTTTGATTGTTGTTGACAATGCCTACTGATATATGCCGTGGATGATTGAAACAAATATTTACCAAAGATATAACAAATAGTGGGATTAAGTAATATGAGACAGTCATCATCGGTCGTGTCATCTCCTCTATAATATTCCTCAAAACCAATGCTTTTATGCGATTCAATGCAAATGATTGTGAAATCTCAGCACAATTTCTTTTGATTACATGTCTCGCACTATCTCTGCAAACATTTATCTTATTATCTAGTTGTGGAATAAAATCATTGCATAATTGATAGTAAACATCATCCAAATGAGTGCATCCGTGGGCTCTTAGCAGTTGTTTCGGTGGACCAAATGCAAGACAGTGTCCCTCATATAGGAAACAGATATGACTCGCATTGCCGGCCTCTTCCATATAATGAGTGCTTATAATGACTGTCGTGTCTATCAATAGGATAATAAATTATTTTTATATAATTTTATAATAATCTTCAGTTGACAACCATTTTGATGGCAAAGAGTCTCCAAATAATGCCAAATACGAGATCTGATAAGAGAGTCGATGCCAACCGTCGGCTCATCCAATACTAACAGCTTTGGGGAGTGAATGAGAGCGACGGACAGAGAGACCAGTCTTTGCTGACCACCACTTATACAGTCAATCCTTTTGTCCAATTTTGGCAAATCTAACAATTCGTGTAATTCATTGATACGACTATTAATGGCATCGCTTTTCAGGCCATAAATGAGTCCATAATAGTTGAGAATCTGTTTTACAGTAAAAACATTGAAAAGAGCTATTTCTTGGGGCATATAACCCACTCCAGGACCCGGTATATCGGATTTATGAGTACCCGGCTCATTGCCAAACACTCTTTACCAAGGTATTAATCCACAGTTAGCTAAGTTATAATTGAATTTCTCACAACAGAAAGGCCTTGGTAAACTCGGATTTTACCGACACTGAACTGGATGTTAAAGTTAATTAAAAATCAAATAAATACAAATGCATAGAATTGAACAATGTAAGATGTTATTGTTATTAGTTTCACATTTTATTTTAATTATATCTCATAAGTTATTTATTTATACCACAATTGATATCTTTTATTGATTAAAATACAATTAGTTCTACAAAATTATTATAACATTTTCAATCTCATAATAATAATGCCGGTAAATTATATATCATTATAAAATTCAATATATTTTATTTATGATTTATGGCATCAAATTAAGTCAACAAGCAAAACATGAACTTTGTATATAAAAACATGTATCATAGTCATTTAACAGGATTACAACAATTAATTTTACTTACTTTTTGATATATTAAGACTTATTGAATCCAATACTGAATTTGATTTCTTATATCCAAACACAACATTTTGTACATTAACTGCATATTCATTAATATTATTATTACTTTCACTTTGGAAATCTCTTTCAGCTGAATTCATGATTGAATTTACAAAATGAAATAAAAATCAACTCTTTAAATTATTTTTAACTAATAATGTAATTAAGGATCCGGTAGTTTAGGGAAATTGCCTTTTTTGACTTATTTGTTACCATAATTTATTTTAGGAATAACATTATGTCAATTAGACAGAAAAATGCCATCTAGCAATTTAAAAATTATTATTCATAAAATATATTATTTATGGGTCAATATTTCAATCATTGACCATTCATTATTTCTATAGTAAAGGGGCAATAAAAGGATTATATCCTAGCAAATCATATATGAATCATTTATTCTAGGGTTTACCTGTTTAGAGTTTTTACTCAATTTGCTACCTCAAACTGAGGTTCCTAATGTAAAGTATACAATACTTTTAAGTCTATTACCGTATGAGCCATTAGACTTGTACTGTATGACAGTATTTGTAAGTATGAGAAACTTATTGAAGTCTTAATGTTTCTAGTATTCCAACATAATTCATACGAACAGATAAATAGCTTTGACAATAATTAAGTAAAATAAACTAATTGCAATGTTTTATTTCAAAAACAAATTACATGTTTTATCATACTGAAAAGTTTGTTTTATAATAAATTCTAATTTTTAAATAATTAACTTAGCAGGTAATTGTAATTTTTCACGATTTTTTTTGTTTAATCATATATGTTAAGAAATTACTGGTAATAAAAAATCCATTAGTCTAAACATATACAAAGTCTATAGTTATTATAGTATAGTGTTATAGATATTAATAATATCCACTTATTATATTGAAAGTTTCAAGGATTTTCAGATGTCTGTATACCTTTTAAAGTTTATTATTTAAAAACTGCTACAGGTAAATAACTACTGTAATTTGAATACAATTTCAATTAATTTTACATGTATAGAATTTGCTTGTTAAATTGATATAAATTAAAATAATTATCTAACTAAAATATAATAATCTCCAAAAATTAAACATGTAGCGTAATAATTATTTTAAATACTGTACAAATAAGGATTAATATAATTTGTATTTCATTCAATTATAATATTTTATGTTTTATTAATTAAAATTCTTATTATTTTGTAATTATTATAATTCTTCAAGTTATAAGTTTATATACAGTAAAGCATCATTACAGTATATTATACCTGTACTTTCAACATAATATTATTGTGATTTATATAAAAATATAATTTATATTTTTTCATGAATTAAGAATCTTATTAACGTTAATATCTAACTTTCAAGGACTTACAATTTAAAATTCTTATATGCTCAGGGACAAACTAATTGATTTAATTAATCATAATATTCTAATTTGATTTTCTACAGTTGTCTTGAAATTTTAACATAAAATTATTTATTTTGATAATAACATATTTTACTAGTTGTTTCAACTTTATATTTATCACTATGTCGACAACATTAATAAATTATAAATTATATGTTGACAATAACTCATAGTAATTTATATGACAATTGGCAATAATTTAATTAATTTATATTTAGAATTTTATTTTATTTGAAACATCAGTAAATAGTTATACAGTATAAAAATTACAATACTATTTTATATCAATTTTAAATTTCATTACTTTAGTGAAAAACGCTACTAAGGGGCCATTTAATAAGTATGTACGCAAAAATTTGTCTAAAAATTGACCCCCCCC